CCCCGTGTTCCGGAGGAAAGGACTTGAGGGCAAGGGCCGGCCGGCCCACCACTGGTGGCCAGTCCCAGCGCCCTGGTCTGAGCCCCACCTGGGTCTCCACCTGCCCCACCCACGGCTCCACCACAGGCCTGCGCCCCACCTGCCTGCCCCGGCCGGGCTGTGTGCCGCCCCCGGGGTACGGAGGAGACAGCGGGCGCCTTCTCTGCCGTCAGGGCTCCGCGCCCGGTGGCCTGCCTGGGTGGGGGCTGGTGGGGCCTGCCCAGGGGCTGAACTGGGTGAGTCGGGGGCTGCACAGAGCTGCTCTCGGGAAGGCACAGGACGTGGCGAGGCCACCACACGGGTGGGGGCTCGCGACAGAGGAGCTCGGCGCCTCACGGGGCTTCTGGGTTTTAGCTGGACAAGCAGCGTTCGGGACTCTCAGCCAGCCCCTCCGGCGCATGGTGGTTATCCCTGCTCCCCCCCAGACCTTGAGGCCATTCTGCACCCCAAACCTGATACTCAGATTCCCTCTAAAACCTCCATCCGTTCTCTTACCCCCGTACCTCCCCGGTGGGGAACTTGCTACTCGTGTCTGTTTTGGCTGGTGACACAGGGCCCCCTTGTGCTGGTTCATCTATAGAGAGTTGGAGTCCAGCCAGATCCCTCTTGTCCTGGCTCCGCCCCCCTCTCGGCTCTGGCCTGGGGCTCCAGGTCTGGACATCGTCCCCCCAGGTCCTGGTTCTAGGGCAGCAGCTCTGGCCATCACTGGGGTTCCTGGGGTGGAATTCATCCATTTTGATCAGACTGCGGGTAGGAAGGGGCCGCTGAGGGGGCAGGTCGCCGACGCCAGGTGTCCCCGCCTCTGACTCCACCCGTTTTGCAGGAACAGACAACGCAAGCTGGGGGCGAAACTGCAGTGAGCAGCGAGTGAGGCTGCCCAGCCGCGGGGCTGGCCCGCGCGACGCCATGGAGGCTGGGCTGACAGAAGGACGAAGCAGAGGCCTCTCCCGACCCGTGTCACCAAGTGGAGCCTTTTCTTTTCTTATTTTAATTTTAGTGAACAAGGTGGACCAAAGGGCGGAGCCGGCCCCTCAACCGGGACCCCGGAGGGCCTGCTGCCAGGGGCCCACGGCCAGAGCCCTCTCTGTGCTGCTGCTAGGCCCCCGTCGGCGGGCCGTGCCCTGGGTGGGGGCCCAGGGTGTGGGAGAGGAGGGTCGGCACCTCTGGTCTCGGGCCAGGGAATCCAGGTGGCGTGAAAAATGTACACTATTTATTTTTTGGTTTGTGAAAGGCAGGTGGGATGTTGGAGACAGGCCGAGGAGCCTCGCTGCCGTGGCTGTCCCGTGCGCTGGGCCGGCGCGTCCCAGGCCTTGCGCGCCGAGCCCGGGGGCAGACCGCCCTCCGCGGGCCGAGAGGGGCCCGAGAGGGCCTGGGCGCCGGAGGCGGGCGGTCCCGGGCCCTCCTGCCACCATTGCCATTCCAGAACCTCGTTCAGTGTTCGTGGGGTCGGGGCCCAGGGGAGCGGGCATCTGGCGGCTGCCGTCATTGTGTTCTACCCCGTCCCCACCCTGCACCACAAGGGCTTTTTCTGGTCCCCGTCCCTGGGACACGGGTCCCTTCTGGCAAAGAGCCAGGCTGTTCCCAGCGCCTCCTTCGTCCTGTTCCCCGGAGCAGCTAGTCTTCACCTCCACGCGAACAAAACTCAAAGGAGCAGCTGAGAGGAGGCTGGGAACCTGCTTGGGGCCACCCTCAGCCTGAGTCCTTGGTGAGGGCTCCGCCGTCCAGCCCAGAGGCTGCCTCCTCCGAAAGGGACTCAGCTTTCGGGTCTCAGTCGCTCTGAAATGGACTGTGGGCAGGAGGTGCTTCTGGACTCTTGGAAGTTTCTGGAACCAAACCAGGCTGCTCGGGACCTGAGTTAGAATCCTCCCCGCACACATCTTTTTCTTTGTGGAGGCCCCTAACCTGCTGCTGAAGCACAACGCCGCGGTGCTTTCCTTCCTCATTGGTTAGACAGTGGCCCACAGCCATTCCAGATGCCAGGACAGGGGCCTGTACCAGGGAAGGTTGGTCAGTCCCCACGTTGTCCTCCCCTTCCCTTCTATTTCTGTTTTTTACCTTTTGCCGGAGACAAGCCAGGAGTGAAGTGGTTTAAGAAAAATATCAAGGAAATTGTTTACTATTGTTTTGAAATAAAATCTTAAACTATGGCGGCTTCAGCACGCATTGGCCGAGCTCGTGAGGAGCCGTGGGCACAGGGCACCCGGGGGCAAGGCTTGGGGACCGTCGTAAAATGGCACTGCTGTTCAGGGGCCGTGTCCCCTTCGGGCCTGGCCCACTGCCCAGCGCCGCCCAGGGCCTGGGGCTCCTCGTGACAGCCCTGAGGACCGGGGACAGCCAGCGTGTCCTTCCCGAGTCGCAGCCCAAGTCAACACTCTGCGCCTTGCGAATTCCGTTTAACTCTTGTTTTGAAACTGAGGTGTGTCTGACACAGGTTTCAGGGTGCCGCGAGGATTGTGACCTCGTGAAGCGCAGTGTCCCGTTGACATCGCCTTAGAGCCACCGGAGCCACTTTTCTTGTGGTGAGGCTTCCAGCTCTGTCCTCGGGGCTCTCGGCCGCAGCTCGGCCAGGGGCGACGCCAGCCGCCTGCCCACAGCCGCACTCCTGGGCCGTCGCAGCGGGCGCCTGCCCCCGCCCCCGCCGCCCTCCTTGCTTGTGTGTGGATGGCTGCGTGTCTCGCTTCGGGAGAAGTAACTGCCAGCCGAGCTGACGTTCACGGGGCAGAGATGAACCTGAGTGAGACCCCAGGGTTGGCCTGAGGCGGGCGTCACGCTGAGGTGCAGCGGCAGTGCTGTTGGGCTGAGAGGAATCTGGCCGGTAACCCCCCTCCCCGCCCAGGAGTGTGCCAGAAACAAACCAGTCTCTGAAGACCTTTCACCCCAGACCTCAGATTATTGGTAGTTTTGAAAGTGCAATGAACTGACAAAGATGGCCAGGCGCAGGAGGATCAAGAACTTGAGGGTCGGGCCCTCCCTGGTGGCCCAATGGGTTAAAGCAGCACTGCAAGCTGGCAGCAGCCGCTTCACGCCAGTTTGATCCCCGCCCGGAGGTGACCCCCAGGGCCGGGCAGACCTCCCGTCTCCCCGCTGCTCCCCTCAGTGGTGCATTTCAGATCTGCCTGTTCTGCTCTCCACTCTGTCTTTAGTGAAGCCTCTCACTGCCCCTACAACTCTGGCCTGTACCCCAGTTCTGTGTGCGTCAAGAAATAAACTTTAAAAAAAAATAACTTGCAGATAGATTAAAAACCCACCAATACCCCCAGACACTGGGGTGGTGACGTACCAACTATAAATCGTTTTTTATGATTGATTTCTGCATACAAAAGCTGGGTGCAGGTCAGAGGTGGGGGGTTGAGAGGATTCACCAGGGACAGAGTGGGGAGCAGGACAGGCGGATGTTCTGAAATCCACAGCTGAGGGGAGTGGCCGGAGACAGGGAAGCCTGCTGCGCCCTGGGGGATCCCTGGCGGGATCCCTGGCGGGATCGAACTTGGCCACGGACAGGACAGCTCCACACGCGGAGGCTTAACCCCTGCGCCACCAGGGCTCACTGTTTCAGAGAGGCTCAAAAATAATTTCGGGGAACTGGAAACTCCAAATTGAGTAGTGATGGATGGATTTTCAAAGGAAAACTGACAAACGCACTGGCTGAGAGACTAGAACACTTCAGGGGAGGGGAGGAGAGGCGACGGGAGACCCCTGGGGGCAGCTCCACGGGAGACCCCTGGGGGCAGCTCCAGGGCCTTGAGGCTGCCACCTATGGTGGCTTTTCCCACCTGCCCGCCTGACTCCCCACCCCCATCAGCCACCTCTCCAGCATCCCCCAGGGTCCCTAACCCTTTATCTCCTGCTCTGGGGGTGTGAGGCCCCCACCAGCGCTGGCCTGGAGGGGCTCCCGGTTTCTGGTTTCCCTCTTCCCCCGCAGGGTCAGGCCCTCCTGGCCACTCCCCAGCACCTTCCTCCACACCCTCCTCGGTGTCCTGGGATCAGCCAGCCCGTGCTTTATGGGTGAAGCACGAGGGCCCGGTGCGCCCCTTTCCCGCGTCTGCCTTCCTGTCCGCTCACTGCACTGAGCCAAAGTCAAGTTCATGGCAACTGGGACAAACTGGGAGGGTCTAGGTGAGAGTCAAGCGGCCATTTCGTCACATGTTCAGATACCACGTCAGGCCTTACACAATACGTACTTCGAGCCTTTCCACTCGGAGAAAAAACAAAACCCAGAAAACCGAGTTTTTCACCCCCATCTTTCTTTGGGCCTGGCTGTCCCTGGGGCCACCCATGGGTCAGCTGGTCCGACCCTGGGGGCCCGGGTGGGGGCTGGGAAGGGCGACGCATCCTCTGGGTTTCCTGCCGCTGCGGCCTCAGCTCTGGGGGCTCCTCAGCCCTGCGCTGAGAGAGGCAACGTGGCGTCCGTCCGGGGAGCTCTGCTCTGTGGTTTAGCGACCTGGTGACCATAAGCTCTGGGCCTTGACTTCTCACCTGAAAAGGTCGAGGCAGCCCCGGGAGCCCCCTCTTCCTGGGGGACAGGCCACAGGCCGGCCCAGCCAGCAGCAATGGCCACACCCCAATTCCTTGCCATCTTCTCTGGGGGTTCCACGTGGACCTGCTTAAGGCCAGAGTGGCCCCCTGAAGAGAGGTTCCTCTTCCCACCAACAGCCCCCTGCACTTTGTGACTGGGTGACAGGTGGCCCTAGGCTGTGGCTGGGGGTGAGCTGCCCCCCGGGCCACGGCTCCTCCTGACCTGGTGCAGGGCCCCGGGGACACACCACCAGCCCACAACACTCAGGGCTGCTGGGAGGGCCGGGGCAGCTCTTGTCCAGTGGCCATCACAGCTCACGAGGTTGGGGGGGCCCAAGTCCTGGGGTTCGGTAGACCCGAGCTCGAGGGCCCCTCCTCCGGCCGCCCAGATGCTGGGAACACTGGGAAGAGGCCGGGTGTCCGTCACCACGCTGTCTGCCCCCTCAGACACTGACTCCCCTTTATTAAAAAGACGTCACGTTTGTATCACACAATCACTGCTGTGGTGCAGGAGTCGAGCTGAGTGGGGCGAGAGCCGGGACCGTGCGCGGCGCCACGCAGGCGCACAGCAGCCTCGGCGGATGCCGCTGCGGTGGCAGCTGGCTGAAGCCAGGCCTCGGGCTTCTCCGCACCAGCTCACCTCCATCCTGACTTCAGCCTCGGGGCCTGGCGACCCCCGGCGGCACGTAATTCTCTGCCAGGTCTTGGGAGCTTGGGGTTTGAGGTCCAGACCCTGGCCCGGGCACAAGGTGGCAGGGATGGCCCAGGCTGAGCGGGGCAGGGCGGACGCGGCTGGCCCCGTCCCCTGGAGGCGGCCTCGGTGGGCAGCACGCCGGGCGCCTGGGCCTTAAGTCCCTGAGGGTTGACTCCGGAAGGCACGTGCTGGGGCCGCGGCCCTGCTGGGGGTGCCAGCCGGGTTCCGTGGGGCCTGGGGTCTGGGAAGAGAGCAAGGACAGTGCCCTGGGGCGGCGCCCGGGAGCCGGCGGCCTCAGGGCCTGCGCGGGCCTCAGAGCTTGGCCCTGGGGTGGCCCTGCAGCAGCGCGCGCATGTCCAGCAGTGCCCGCTCGAGGCTGCGCGCCAGGCGGCCCGCGCTGGTCTCCGCGCAGCTGTTGTAGGCCGACACCGAGAAGTGGATGTGGGCCTCCCGGGGGTTGTAGCAGACGCCGTAGCCGTCGGGCACCACGGGCCCGAAAAACATGACGCAGTCTGTCTTGGCGGGGACCTGGGGAGCACAGGCAAGGGCTCCTTCCGACCCTGCTGGCGCCCGCCGGCGGGCAGGCTGACGCAGCCTGCGCCCCTGCTCCCGCCCTCGGGCCCAGCCCCCCCTCCGCAGGCAGCGACCCCACCGGTGACCTTCCGGGTTGGCGGCCACACCCACGGAGCCTTTCCTGACACCCCCAGGGCCTCACTGACCTGCACTTCCCGGCCAAGGCGGCTCCACTCCCTGTGCTTCTGGGTGCTGCCGCCCAGCCCGTGGGCAAGACCCAGAGCCCCGGACAGGCTGGCCCACGTCAGGTGTCTCCCACTGGCGGGGCCCCGACTCCTCGGCCTGAGCTGCGGTGATGTCCCCTGCTGCCATTTCCCCCCAAACTCGGCCGCTTGGCAGGGGCGGGCCACGGGCCACCCAGGCGTGACCATGTTCTAGACCCTGTGCCGAGCCGGTAGCCTCGGTCCGGTGCCAGAAGGCCCCCCTCCCCCAACGCGCCTCGGGTGGTGGCGGGGCCCAGAGGGCGGGGAGCCCCGGCAGCGGCCCACCTGGCTGGTGGACAGTTTGAAGTGCATGGCGACGGCGTACGAGGCGTCCATGAAGATGTCAGGCATGCTCACCAGGTCCTCGACGGCCTGCAGCCTCAGGCCCAGCAGGTGCCGGTCAAAGGCCTCCCCGCGGATGGCCTGCGGAGGTGCGGGGTGCCGTCAGGAGCAGGGCCGGAGGCCCCGGGGGTCCCCCTCTTCACTCCCGGGCCCTTGGATCCAAGGGACTGGCATCCAGGCGGGAGAGCCCTCACTTCGCAGATGGGGAAACCGAGGCCCAGGGGCCTGCCTGCTCGGGAAGGCAGGACAGCGTCCGATGAGAGGGCAGGGGCCTGGGGGGGGCCCTGCCTGCTCCTGGCTGGTCAGGAATATCTTGGAGTCTCAGTGTTGGTGAAAGGGGACAGGCAGCCACAGGGCGGCAGTGCGCAGGGGCTCAGAGATAGCCAGGCAGCCCGGCTGCCGCCATCGGTGCGCGGGGCAGGAAGCTGCGTGCCCCTCAGCATCGTGGGCAGCGAGGACACAGACGCCGGGGGCAGGCCCTGAGCAAGGACCAGGGCAGGCACTGGCCGGCTTCCGCTTCGCCAACTGGAAAGGGGGTGTTCAGCCCGAGTCTGGGTGCCCTGAGGCTCCGGGGAGGGAGCAGGTGGCACACAGGCAGGGCGCGCTCACCCGGTCCGTGTAGTCTCGGTGGGCCTGCACGGCTCTGCGCAGCAGCTCCACTTTCTGGTGCTCCTGGCGAGGAAGGCGAGGGGGGGCTGAAGCTGTCCTCTTCCGGCTCCTGCCACCCGCCTCGGTAGCCCGTCCTGTACCTAGAACTAGACTCTGAGCTCGCTGAGATCAGCGGTGGGACCGTCACCTCTCTAGAGCTTAGCCAGGCCTGACACATGGCAGACACACCTGCCACTCAGCGGCGGCTGGTGCCCTTCCTGTGTGGCTGCAGGGCGCTCAGCACTACGGTCCCTTCTCGGGCCCCCAGAGCCTGTCTTGGGGCTGGAATACAGCAGCTGCTCAATCCGTGTGTGTTGCCAGAAAGAACAGGAAGGGAGACGGCCCGAGCCCTGCTCACCCACCCCCGCCCCGGACCTCTCACCGGCACACTGGAGCCGTCCATGGCCCTGACGAAGGCCAGGGACTCCACGGTGGCCGAGCGGATGGTGTCGGTGCGGCCCAGGTGGAAGGCGCGCAGGGAGGCGCTCTCGTACGTGGCACAGGCCTGCCCGTAGGTCCTGGTGAGGGAGCAGCTGAGCGCGCCCGGCGGCGGCCCCTCCCCGGTCCCCAGGCTCCCCCCCCCCACAGGTGGGCAGGTGGGCAGGCGGGCAGGCGGGCACACCTATAGTAGGCCAGCTGTAGAGCCAACTGGATGAAGGCGTCTGGGCTCAGCTTCTCTGACTTGGGGAAGTCCTTTCCAAAGTGGTGGAACACCATCACGGTGATGTCCAGGTCCTGGATCATACTGGGGGCGGGAGGGGGGTGAGGGACAGTCACCTGGCGGCCCCGAGGGGCCCGCGAGCAGCCGCAGCACGGGGCCCAGGCCGCCCGTGCTTACATGCCCAGGTTCTGCTTAGCTTTCTCGATGTCCTTCTTGATCTCAGGGGTGATGTTGAAGCGCAGCTTCCTGGGCATGGGCAGGGGCACTGTGGGCGGGCTCACGAGCTCAGGCTTCTTCCTGCGGGGACCCGGGGCGTCAGGCGGGCACCCGTGTACAGCCTGGGTCAGGTGGGGAGGGTCAGCCCAGGGCGATGCTGGCCTTGTCCTTCTGAAAACTAAGTGTGCTCTAGCTTTCAAATGGCCAAGCGGAGGCGGCCTGGGCGGGGGGCGCTTGTCCGGGGTCCTGCGGCTGGGAAGTGGCAGAGCCAGAACCCCAACCCAGGGCCTCGGCAACCCCCCCCCCCGCCCTCTGCTGGCCTCCTTCAAGGAAACCACTTCCAGGCTGGAGGGGCAGGGCCCCTGTGGCGCGGTCCCTGGGCGAGGGCGGGCGCCACACTCACGTGAACTCAATGACGTGGTCCAGGAGGGAGATGATGGGCGGCCCCTCCGCTGCTGCGTGCTCATAGACAAGTCCACACGAGCCGTCTTCTGCCACAATGAACTGGGGAGGGCAGGGGGGACCCACAGCTCCCGTCACCAGAGCCTTCCTGCAGGCACCTCCAGGGTCACGCTGCCTCAATACTACCGCTAACGTTTCTCGGCGGCCTGGGGCCGGCCGTGCAGGTCTGTCCTGGGTTCACACGGCTCCCCGGCGCCCGCACCACCAGACCCGGAGTCCTAGCACACCCCCATGTGACAGGTGCAGAGAGGGAAAGTCACGGCCCAGACCTCGCCCTTCTTGCTGGCCCCGCCGCCCACACTGTGTCTGATGTGCGGAGGGGTGGGCTGGGCTGACCGTGTTTCTGGGCCGGGCGCAGTAATGACAGGCTGGCTGCGCGGATGGCGGCCGCCTCCACCTGCTGGCGTCTCCCCCGCCCGCTTTACAAGCTGGGAGGCCGGCCAAGCCCGGCGTGTCTGCCGGGGAGCCAGGCTCGCCCCTCACCTGCAGCGTCTTGTCGAACCAGCGGTTGCCACTGTTGAGCTGGCCGCCGCCCCCGTGCAGCATCTGGCCAGCCACGTGGCTGCGGTAAGCCTCGTCGGCCACCCTGGGCACCGGCCTGTCCAGGCACACGGCGAAGATGCTCTGCTGGATGGAGCGCACCGACTCCCGGTTCACCTTGTCTGCGGTGGCGACGGGAGGGCGCGTCAGAGGGGCAGAGTCGCCGGCGCCTCCAGCGTGGGGCAGAGGTGGCCAAACTGCAGGCCCACTGGGCCCCTCCCCATAGGGCCCTGGGTGGTAGGGCCCGAGCTTGGGTGTTTCAGGGGTGAGGGGGCCAGGGCCAGCGTCAGCCTGAGAGCAGCATGGCAGTCAGGGGCCCGAGTCCAGGGCCAGGCCTCTGACCAGCTCTCCTGGCCACCTGCTGTGTCGCAGATGCTGCTGGCTTGGAGATGGGACAGACCGCGTCCACTGGGAGCCGAGAGGGCCCAACACGGCTGCCCAGGACCTCCCAGGACCTGGTGTGACAGAGGCCGGGGCGTGGACACCCCCTCCAGGCGTACCTTTGATGAGGGTGTTGTATGCTTTGGCCCAGGAGTTTCGGTGGTTGGAGGTGAGGATGCCCACGGGCTCTTTGTTGGTTTGCAGCGACGAGTTCCAGATCTTCTCCAGTTGCACAAAGATCTGGTCTGCGGTCAGGGGCGTCCCATCGCTGTGGTACACGTCCAGCTCGAAGAACTGTCAAGGCACAGGGAGGGCGACAGGGCTGGTGGGCAGCTCAGTGGGCAGCAGGTGCCCCAGACACCAGTCTCCTGCTGGCCTCAGAACCCAGAGGTCATCGCCGGTGCTGTCAGCGGGGAGGACTGGCGTCTGGCCGGCGATGGGGGAGGACAGGCCTGTGCCTTACCCCGAGGCCTGGCGCCCAAGGCCCGCCTGCCCCTGGGCGCGTGGGCTGGGGGTGCTGACTCTGGCCCCGCCACCGGCCGCTGCATGGGGCCCACCCACCTGGAAGTTGTGCACCACGGTGATGTGCAGGGGCGGCTTCTTGACCTTGCTGAAGTTGACCACCGAGTCCTGCTTGGGGCCGGGCACGCGGCAGGACGACAGGATCTGGTAGTACTGGTTCATGCACAGCGGCTTCCCGCCCAGGTACTCCACCGGCAGGGTCTCACTGCTGGGCAGAGGGCGGTGAGGGGCCACTGGGCACAGCCAGGGACGGCCGGCAGAGGGCTCCTGCCAGCAGTGCGGGCCCCTCTGTGCCCCCACCCCTTCCGGGTGAGTGGGAGCCCGAGCAAGCGAGGCTGGGGCAGGACGCCTACAGTCCAGCGTGGGCAGCTGCTGCTTGTACGTCGGCCTGGAAGTCCCCTCCTCTCTCAGGAGGGGCAGAGGAAGCAGCAAGGGGGACTCGGTTCTCTCTGGCTGGGACACATATTCCAGGGAGCTCTGGCCCAGCCGGCAGGAAGCGGAGGCCGAGGCTTCAGATGAGCTGAGGCCCGCATTTGGGCCAACAGGAAGTGAAAGCGCCTGAGCTCAGGCCTGCCCGGCACCAGGCAGGCTCACCCCCGCCGCCCCCTGCGCTGGGCAGGGAGGCAGGGCTGGCGCCGGGGCGGGGCCACTCACTTGTCAATCATAGCCTTGAAGTCCAGCACACCCTCGATAAGTCTGGCAGCAAACCTGAGGACAGATGAGAGCTCAGAAGCTGACGGGACCCGAGGCAGACCCCTGGCCCCTGCGCCTGCTGGGTGAAGAAGAGGCCTGTCCATGGGGGTGGCCCATCGCCTCACTTCTCTCTCACTGCTCTGGAAGCCTGAGGAGCCCAGGTGCAGGGCCTCTGCCCCAGTCCCCACTCCCACGCCCAACCTGTCCTGGTCATCTCCGAGGGAGCCAGTGCTGGTGGCGCACACAGCTCGACTGACCACTGACGTGCAGGCCGGCGCTGGGGTCCCGCCCCGGGGGGCCGGGGGCCGGAGGCCCTGGCTGGAAAGGGCCAGCCTGCTCCAACCCGGGACTGGGCCTTCAGGCGTCGCCCCCCAGGGCACTCTGTCAGCCCTGGACAGTCTGGGCCACATCAACCACGCCTGATACCTGGCTGCCCCTGGCGCCCAATCTGGGCGCCACTGCTGGAATTCCTGGGCCTGCTCCCCAGCTTTTCCTGGGGTGACTTGGCCCCTTTAAGAGAAGCAGGTGGTGGCTTTGAGTGGCTGGTCCCCAGGCAGGAGATCCCTGTCAGTATTTTTATCCTTGGTCAGAGTGGAACAGAGGCCAGGCAAGTGACATGGCCGAATGTGATAAAGGGGACTGTGTACAAAGGTCACCCGAGGCCAACTGAGGAGGAGGAAGAGGTGGGCAAAATGCCAACACTGGGGTAGCGAGGGCACCTCAGGTTTGGGGGCCGGGAGGGGACCTGCTCCACGGTTTGGTGGTTAATGGCCATGAGACTCTGGGGCAGGAGAGACCCTGCTTCCTCTCCTGGCCCAGCCCCTTCACTGCTCTGAGTCTCAGTTTCCCCATCTGTAAAACAGGGCTGACCCTGGTAAGGCCACTCGTGGGGATACAGGACGATGAACAGGAAGATAACAGCACTCCCCAGCCCCTAGGGCAAGGAGCCTGGCCAGGCGCGTTTTGACTCCTGCCCCTCCACTCACCGGAGCTGGCCCTGCAGATCCACAAAGTCCTGCTTGGGCAGCATTAGGCCAGGGTTGGAGTGGATGACCAGGGGCTGGCGGTACTGCAGGTAGGCCGTCTTCAGCCACCACTCGGACAGCTGGGGAAGGGCCAGTCTGTGAGGCGGCAGCCGGGGGCCTGGGGCCCCTTTCTCCCGGGGCCAGGGACCCTCCAAGGAGCCCAAGGTCCCTCAGGAGGAAGGCTCAGACCCAGACCCCCGGGCCCTTACACCCACCAGTGGCATCTCATCCCCTTCCCTTAGCCTGAGCCAGTCAGCGTTGGCAAGAGAAATTGACAACACTGCCCACAGAGACACGCGAGAGAAAAGACTGGAAGGAACCTGAAGCGGGGAAAGAAAAGAGGCAGAAGCGTGAATCCTCCCCAGCTTACAAACGTCTAATCAATGGCAGTCATGCTTGTAGAAACAGAGATCAGCCCGGTAGGGGAAAGGCAGGGACAGAGAGCGCGAGCTCTACGCTAACAGAAAGGCAGTGGGACTGTGAGTGGCTGTCCCAGGGCTCCCAGCGCCCCGGGGCCCTGGTGCCGTGGCCTCCGTCCTCAGCCGGGAGTGGGCACCGGCTTGATCTCAAGGTCTGGGCAGCCAGATCACAGCCCACCGCGGGGGTCGATCACGGCCCCAGGAATGAGCTCAGGTGACATCCCCAGCTGAGGAGGAAGAGGTGGGCAAAGTGCCAAAATTGAGGCAGCGAGGTCACCTCAGGTTTGGGGCCAGGAGGGACCTGTGCGCCCTCTGTGCGGGGAGGGTCCTGAGGCGAGCAGCCACGGTCATGTCCTCGAGGCTGCTGTCTCGGGCTCTCGGGTCCTCCTGAGCCTGCTGTGCTGGCTGCACCCTCCCCCCACCCCCGGCGCCTCTCTGGCAGCTCCCCAAATCGGTCTTGGGCCTGGTGCCTCCCTGGGCTTCCCCTCCCGTCCCAGGCCATAGGCCCCTTCACTGCACAGATGCGCCTTGAGGAACTGCTGACCTGTGGCACAGTCCACTAACCTTGGGCCCCGGGCGAGGGCGGGGGCCCAGCAGGCCACTGGGTGGCTGCTTTCTATTGACTGCTGGCCTGGGGTCAGGGCTCTTGAGTCAGCCAGGTCCGGCAGCGCAGCCTGGCCTTGTCTGGGGGCGGCTGTGTGGCCTTGTGCTTGTGACCTAGCTGCTGGGCCTCAGTTTCCTCAACTGTCGTTCTAGGCGGGGCTCCACAGGAGCTCTTTCTCCTTGGGCTGCCCGTCAGCCACAGGGTGCCCTCTCCCGCGGGGTCCTGAGAGCCCCTGGCCAGAGCTGGGAGAGCAAGGGAGCCCTGCGGGCATGGCCAGCCCCCCAGCGAGAGTGTCCTGGCAGCGGCAGACCCCTCACGGGGTCCCCTGAGCGGAGGGTGCCTTCCCCCTTTACGCCACAGCTTCTGTGAGGAGGAGCGGAGGCGTCGGAAAGCTGGAGACGCTAGAACCCAGCTTCCCCGCACAGCTGCGAGGCGCCGCCGCGTGGCCTTGTACAGGCGCAGCGCACCCCGAGGTCGGCGAGCCCCTCCTGCGGCAGGCCGCAGCCCTCCACCTGCTGGCCTCACACCTCCTCTCCCACACACGTTGCATGCCTAGAACCCCGCTCCGCTTCGCACCCACAGACGGCTTCTCTCTCGGTCAGCCCCTGCCCCGGGCCCCCTTGCATCACCAGGCATCACTGGTGCTGTTTGTTGGGGCGAGTTTCACAACTGCTCGGCCTTACGCACTTGAGGAAGACCAAACATCGCAGCTGGGAGCACGTCAGCTGTGTCTGGCTGCCGTGATCTCGTGGCGGCCACGCCAAGCCCGACCCACCTGTCCTGCGGCAGCAGCGGGGTCCTCGGCAGCCCGCCTCCTGCCTCCCTCGTGCTTCCCTCCCTCCCAGCTCCAGGGCTCTCTAACTATGCTGTCAGTCCTGCTTCACCGTCTTCCGCAGACTCTAGCAGGCCGTCAGCGCAGACACGCTGTGACAGGACGAGCCGGGACCCTCCCGGCTGAGCCAGCCCACCTGCCCTTGCCGCGGAGCTCAGGCCCAAGGCCCTTCTTGTGCTCCCACCCCAGCTTCCGTCTCCGGAGTGCCAGGCTGTTGCCACATCTGTCCACGCTGCCTCCCATCCACACCCCGTCCTCCCTGTCCAGAATGAGGACACCGTGCACCCCAAAGTCTTTCTCACGGCCCTTTTTGATTTCTATAGAGCTACATCACCCCTACTGATCTCGTCCCTCTGCCGCTGTCCAGTTTAATGACCCCCCCACAACGGCCATCACGCGTGGCTGCCCGGGGTGAGTGTCCATGAACCCCCATGCGCAGCCGCACCAGGCAGCTGTGGCAGGGAGACCCCATGGGTGCGGTCAGCCACGGCCAGGCAGAGAGGGCTGCTCACTGCGACCCAGAACCGCTGGGAGGGTCTCCGAGCCCCCTACCCCGCAGGGGAGCCGGGGGTCGTGTGCGCCCCGCCTTCTCACTCACCCAGTTCTCAGACTTCTTGGCCCTGCGCTCCAGCCCCTTCTGCAGGCGCTCCCCCACGCCTGAGGTCTGGAACTCTTCCACCAGCTGCTTGGTCTGGATCCACTCCTCCTTGCTCACGATGGGCTGCAGCGCCTTGAGGTAATGGTCCAGGGACTGCTGGAGCGGGGGCACGGGCAGCCGGGGCAGCGAGTCCTGGTGTGCCTTGAAGCGGCCGGACACTTTCATCAAGGAGAAGGGCTTGAGGAAGCCCGGGGGTTTCACCTGCAGGCAGCAGAATATGCTGGTCATCCTCTTACCTGCGCCAGGAGGCCCTGGCGGCTCCACCGCTAGGGGCCTGGGCACTTATGTGACCATCCCAGGAGCAGAGACAGCCTCTTGGGTGGTGCCAGCCCTGGCTTCCCAGCCCTGGGGCTGTGGGTGTGTCTGCCTCTCAGGGGCAGGCAGGGGGGGAGGGCGTGGCCGTTGATTTTGGCAGGATTCAGGGGCACCTGCTGGGGTGGCAGAGGCGAGAGGGACCTCTCACCTGTCTGGCTGCAGGGGACCCAGCCTTTCTCACCCTGGGATGGTGAGTCAGTCAGTAGCGAGGTGACTGCTCCCCCCACAGCCCGGAGACCCCCATTTTCTGTCCCCCACCCTTGCCAAGTTTTGGAGTAAAAGGGAAAAGGATAAATCCGGCGCCAGAGGATGACAGCACCTTTGGGTGTAAATGGGGCCTTAGGCTTCTTGCTGTTTGTGGGGTTGGGTGAGGGTGGCAGGGGGCAGCGTGGCAGGAGAGAGCTGGGTGGCCTGGCAGGCAGCGTGAGAGGTGGCGGAGAAAGAGGGCGCTGGGGAGAGAGGCGAGTGCAAGACTCAGAGGTGTGCGAAAGAGAGGAGGCTCCGAGGCTGCTGGCGGCAGTGAAGCGGCGAGCCGCGGGGCTCTGGTCCGTACCTTCTCTCTCTGCAGCTCGTCCTCCATGGCAGGACTGAGGCTCTGAGCCCTGCCTGTCTGCCTTGAGCTGGACCTCTAAGCCTAACTGTGCTACCCCGTGGGCGAGCAGAACCTAGCAAGAGACAACTTGTCGGGGCTGGAAAGAGAAGACAAGAGCCGGGGTTCAGGGGGCAGCAGGCGTGTGGTGGCGATGCCGCGGGGGCTGCGGTGGCATCTGGCCGGTGGCCATGGCTGGAGCAGCTGCGCCCCCACCCTGGCTTCCAGAAGTGGAGAAATGGGGAAGAGGGGAGCGGGCTGACGGGTTCTGGAGTCGGAGGGGAACTGGAAAACTGCTTTTTCCTTCGGTTGGGCCCAGTGCCAGGAAGGCAGGCCAAGAGGTATTTAAAAATCCACCTGTTGAACCTGTGTAGGTCTGTGTGATGAGGGAAACCCTGGCTGGAGGGCACAGACTGCTTGGCCACCGAGATTCTATCACTGCCCTAAAATCAGTCCAGAAAACGGGCCTCGCTGTAAGAGCAGATGCCGGGAAAGGGGCCACCGGTGCTAAGGGCCCCGCCGCTCCTGTTTCCTCTAGGGCCTGGGGCCTTCGGGGCCAGCCTTCACCAAAGCCCTGTCCCCGGGGCCAAGAGTGGAGGGCTTTGGGAACTAAAAGCGAGCCAAAGGACAATGGCTTTGCGACAGAACTAGATTTGGATCCAGATCCAAGGGTCTGGCCCGTTTCTCCTTGCTTCAGTTTCGCTGCAGTGAGCTGATCAGACTGTCAGCAGGCCGTGGCGGGAGCCCGCAGGCCTTAGCAGGGCGGCATAGCTCAGGTGGCAGTACAGGGGTGAAGTGAATCTCAGGGTTCCCAGGGAACCTCTTGTCCTGGGCCTGGCAGAGCCTGCTGAGTGTGCTTGCTGGCCCCCACAGGGGACCGTCCAAGCAGAGCGAGATGCTTGGAGTGGAGAGGAAAGGCTCCAGGCAAGGGAGCAGCACGGGTGGCTGTGGGCTGCTCTCTGGGGTGGATGTAGACAAGTCCGGGGGGGGCACCAGTGGGGTGGGGGCGTGGGGCTGCACCCTGCCTCCTGCTGCCAGTTGTGACATCTTTCCGAGCAGCCCAGCTCCACACTCCACGGGAGTTTCTCTGGCTGCACCAACTCCTGGAGAAGCCCCAGGAGGCTGGGTGACCAGCTAGACGGAGGTTGACTAGAGCCTGGGTAGTGCCAGATCTGGCTGAGCCAGGGACAGGTGAGTAAGTCAGAACAACTGCAGGAGACACTCCCGTTCCCTCCCCTCCTGGCTCCCGGTCTAAGGGTAGGGTGATTTCTGAGGCCAGGGTCCCCACCGTCAGCTCCCAGGCATTGGAATTTAGCACAACAGGACCTGGGGTCCAGCCTGCCTCTGACCTTGAGCCTTAAGCCTTCTCCTAGGCCAAACGCGAGCAGCCCACCTGCCCACCCCACTAGCTGCGGGCCGAGTGGCCTCCATTCCCGAGCAACTGCACGCTCCGCTCGATGGCCCGGCCACCGCTCGTGCCCCCCGCCCGTCCCGTCCAGAGCCGCTAGACGGGGTCCAGCTGCACTCACCACCGCCCTGGCAGCGAAGGCCAACATGTTTGCGGACCGCTGGTGGACACACAGACCGCACCGCCCCTCCCTCCCCCCCGCGCTGGGCGAAGTCCTAGGCGCCGCCGCTGTCGTTGGTGGGTCCCCGCTGTGGCTTCTGGGCCAAGGTCGTCGAGTCACTGCCAACGGGAAGAGGTGGCTCCGCGCCGACCCACCCGGCCGGGCCGGTGGCGGGCTGGCAGTCCCGAGGAGGAGGACTCCAGGGGCGGGGTCTCCGGTCACTTGCGAGTCCCCGCGGCTAGCGGCGAGCGCGGGGCGGGGCCAGCTCGGGGGCGGGGCCAGCTCGGGGGCGGGGCCGCCGGCGCGGCTAGCGGTCTGGAGCCCCTCCAGGCTGTGGCGGGCAGGAGGAACCCGGCGAAGCCACTGTACATTTTTTCCCACCTCCAAATGCTGCCTAAGCGGTTGGACACAGAAGCGTGCGCCCCCCTCAGTTATTCTGAAAGTGATAGGAAAACACAATCACGTCAACCGGGAGCTGTCCTCTAATATTCTTGGGATTGGGTCAGGGCCACACACACATGACAGGTGGCACTGCCCCGCAAAAACATGGCTTCCGCCCAACGGCCCTCGTCAGCCCCGCACAAGTATGGCCGCCGAGCCCCGGTCCCGGCCGGCGGTTGGCTGGTCGGGCGGCAGCCGCCTGTCTGTGCGCATGCGCCCCGCTGCCCCGCACCAACATGGCCGCCGCCCGCCAGTGAGCGCGCCCGCGCGCCGGCCGTTGCTGGGCATGCTCCCTGAGTGCCCCGCACCAACATGGCGGCCGTCTTCGCGGGGTGACTTTAATTCTCGGTTTTCGGTTATAGGCGGCCGGTGCTCACTTCTCTTCAGAAAGCTCTGAGCGCCCGGTGGAGCCGGGAAAGAAGGGGGAAGGCGGCTGTGAAGCGGAGCAGGGGCCTGCAGGCATCCGGCCGGCTCCTGGCGGGAGGACGATGGCCGAGGGC